AATACGTAAAATTTTATGCAAAAATCATCCCTTTTTATGATTGGTTGGTTCAAGGTCACTTGTGCGTTCGTTCCTTGGGACTCTATTGTAGAACTTTGCCACCATTGGATCGGATCCCAGTGGCTTAATGGTCTACGAACTCGCTAACCTTGTAACTGGAAGGTCGTGGGTTCGAAACCCTGTGGTAGGTGTTTCCTGCTGAGTGGTTAGTCTCAAACTAGGCTGACGAAACAGCTGTCTGGCAGTACTCCATGCCTGATAGTTTTCCAATAATTCTCTAACTGATGTCAGCTCATGATGAAATCCTCCAACCAATCAAACAAAAAACCATAGTTATTAATGTTAATCAACACATGAAGGAGGCTGAATAAACGTAATACAGTTACTTAATAATATGAATCGTTTAATGAGTGTGTTGTGATTAGGATGCACATAGAAACAAAAGAAAGTATGGAATTATGTAAGAGTTCTAAAAGTTACAAATGTTATAAGGAGTTAGAACAAAGAAAACAACAAGCGCACAAACATCAAGTTAGTAGAACTTAACACGGTTGTTACCATGATAGTAGAACTGGTTGGATGATCATCTTTTGTATGCATAACTCTGGTTTCTCCAACTGAGTGGCTAAGGCTTCAGCAATACAAAGGAGACGATAGCGTCTTGTCTTAGGTAGGTTGTTCTTCACTTTATACATCACTTTGAAAGAGGCGTTTGTTAAGATGGAATGATCAGTGCTTTGATGAGATACTCGATTATCTCACTCCTTATGTCACTAAGACTTTCTTATCACAATCCTTATAGAAAGATTGATTCTTTACAATGAAAATACTGTATGTTAAAATTGTCTTATAACTGGTCTTATTAAATACTATAGATTGCAAGCAGCTGAATGGAACGGGCGAAATAAAATGGAACAGTATTAATCTGCACTAATGTTTGTTTTATCTCCGTCCAAATTTACAACGTTTATCTTATTAATATTACAACATAACATTCAACGGTTCAAAGTATTTCTAAATTGTTGCCACATTAATTCATCTCAAGAAAACTAACGCTGATGTTTCGCCTTTGTATAGCTTCTTTAGTCCAATACACACTAGTATACTTTAATTGGACACTAGTAACTAGTGTGATGTGTCTGGCTGGTCCTTCTTTTGGTGCAGACTGAATTCTATCAATCAGGACACTAGTTACTAGTGCCCAATCAAACTAACCACTACAGTCCTAGAGGAGGTCAATCGCGAGTCCGAATAGCTCAGTGGTAACGTCTCTGACTGCAAACAGCACTGGGTGACGCGGGTTCGAATCTCAGGAGGGACATGAGTTCCTTCAAGGCGGTTGCAGATACGCCTTGCTGAATGGTGAGTGCCTATTGCCTCCAAGCATCTAATAACACACTAGTGTAATTTTGGTGAATCATTCCATACTGTTTGCTCTAAAATTTGAGCTATATAAAGTCATTATTTTAACAAATTACTAGTATGTTTATTATGGTTTTATAACTTCCTACACATTCATGAATATCACATATTGCTCAATATCGTCTAAAATGACAGTTAAGCAGAGGAAGCATCGAAGAGTGAACTTCAAGGGAACACAGAGGAAATCAAGATAATGGTGACAGTCAACCAGCAACAACAACAAGCAGCAATTACTGTCAACTGGAGAAACTTGGAAGAGATCACTCCCTTCACTTATCTAAAAGAAGCATTTTAACTATAGATGGCACGGGTAAAAATGTAAAAAGCCAAAAATTGGAAAGACAAGGTAAACCTTTATCACTAAGAAATCAGTTTGGAAATCTTCTGCACTTGGCAGCATAAAAAACGAAATTTGGATTTTCAACTCGGTGTTAAATCGGTTCTTGTATATGATTCAGAGACTAAGCGCGTCAAGAAAAGCATTTCCAACAGGATACTACAGATCTTCATTAACAGTTGCCTCACTCTGATGACGAAATGAACTTTGTTAAGTATGCCGATGATCTAACTAATTCAATGTCTCTTAACTCCCAGCTAGACTGTACTAAGATAATTAGCTTACTATCAGGAGTTAGCAAATAATCTTCGTCTAATGGTCTTAAACTAAATCCTTCTAAATGTCAGACTGTTAATTTCAGTTTCCAATGTAATGTAAAAGAAAGCTAAATGAAGCTGTTAGTTCCTATGACTGTGGCAAAATTGATGATAGTGATGTAGAAATCAAGTCTTGGATTAATTCTTTCTACTGACCTATCCTGGTCTTCCCATGTCTTAGCGATTTCTCAAAGAATATTTCATCTGACGTTTTACATTAAGGAGTTAAGGCACTCAGGCATAACTCAACCCCTCCTCTTACAGTTTGTCAACTCGTGTATCTTACCTATTCTTCTTTACTGTTCACCCTCATTCTTTCCTAGTTTGTTTAAAAAGGACTATGTTATACTTCGTAGAACTCTGAAGACTGTCAGTAGGACGAGTGGTATCCTATTGGGCTATATCGTTGATATTGTCACTGATAGGCACTTGATGTCATGTAACAAATTTGTTTAAGGAATTTTGTCAGACTGTGGGCATCCATTTTACCCGCAGCTCTAAACTTGTGTCTCCTCAGGTAAAACAAGAAGTCTTTTCAGAAGACTTTATTCACGTACATCTAAGTATGAAAATTCCACTATACCATATTTGCTCCGTACTTTATGTAGTGAAAATAGCGTCAGAAATGAACTAGCTAACCTTCTTTGCACTACTAAATAAACTATATTCCCCACTCTTATGACGCCAAGCTTCATTGCTATTTTTATTCTTAGATTTATAATCCTCTCAATTTTTTGTTCTTATTTGTTTATTTTTTCATAAGTGTGAACATCATCTAAGCTGTGTTATAACTGTTAATTTTGTATTTCCCCTCACCATGCCGCTATATCAACAGAACATTAGATCCAGTAATCTATAACATGCTAAAGTTTCCAAACTGAATCGACAATACCGTTTGAAAAAAACTCACTGTTATTATTATTATATTTAATCATCTCAATTAGTGCTTCGAATATTTTTGACTTTATATCGTAAATGTGGACAAATTTTTCTGGTTAATTTTGTTTTTATTTTTAATTTTATGTATATTTTAAGTAAATCAGATGCAATATTGTGACAAATGCTGAGAATTCCATTCTGTATTATAAGTACTGTCTGTTTAGGAACAAAGTAGATTATTATTATTATTTAAAAAAATAGGCACGGAGAATTAGCTCTAGGAATGCACAAATCAAGAACCTACTGATCAGCAGATACGCTTTAGAAAATGCGGACGGATCAGAAACATGATGAGGAGACCATTGGATGAAATCACACGCCAGGCCGTCGAGTAGTGTCTGGATGAGAAAAGACAAGTTGGACTTCCGAGGGTGATATAACGGAAATCATATAAGGGGAAGATGACAGCATGTGGGCAGTCATGGAGCCAGCTAAACAGGAGGACTGTGGAGAACAGAAGGGAACGGAGATGTGCTGTTGAGACCCTATATTCTGCTGAGAATCCTAGGAAGTTATAATAATAAAGGTCATAATGAGTAAGGCGATTACTATGGCCTTTATATGTCCCTTTTGAGATTCAAACCCACATCACCCAGTGCTGCCTGAAGTCATAGACGTTAACACTGAGCTTTTCATTCGCGAGATTGATCTGTTTTTTGTTGGGTTTATTTACCAAACAGAGGATCGATAGGTAGGACTGTTGAAGAATCTTGGTCGTGGTACACGAAACTACCCAATACCTCTTTTTTCGACTGACTTCTATTTGATATCGATTTATGAACAGAACCACCATGAAAGTTCTTTTTTCTGTATTAATCGTTTTAACCTATTTTTCAAGTGTTGGTTTGTAGGGATTTGATTGGTTACACGATTTCATCATGAGCTGCCATTAGTTAGAGAACCATTGGAAAACCTGGGAGTACTGCCAGGCAGCTGTTTTGTCAGCCTAGTTTGGGACTAACCACTCAGCAGTACACACCTACCACAGGGGTTCGAACCCACGACCTTCCAGTTACAAGGCAAACTGATTCGTAGACCATTAAGCCACTGGGATCTGATCCAATGGCGGACCATGAATGCTAACTTCTGCCAATTCACGACATAGCGCGACCCCTAGCCAATGTCTTCGGCGAGTATTTGTCCTCACGCCCGACCTGCTGCACCCTACTGGTCACGACTTCCCACTGGAACCACAGGTAACTACCTATCTGAATAGGGCCAGTTGCCCGTGAGCATCTCATTGATTTTTCAAGTGTTGGTTTGTAGGGATTTGATTGGTTACAGGATTTCATCATGAGCTGACATTAGTTTTAATCTAATTGGTGGATGGTGACTAGCAGTGGAATCCAGGATTACACGCGTTTCGTCCTGCATAGGACTGACTCGTCATCTTGATGTACCTACATTCCCCAGTGAGTGATGATGTTCCCACCGAGGCTTGAACCCAGTGTCCATAGTTTCAAACGCCAAAGCGTTATCCACTAGACCACATCCGCTGACAAGTCCCAAATAGGACGAAATGCGCATCCTGGATTCCACTGCTAGTCACCACCCATCAATTAAATTCTAATCACATGCTCAGACATCGTCGAAGCATCTGCACAAGAAGCGAACATGTCAACCTGGGACCGAGCACTTCGGTTCAATCAGTCTACAGGAAAATCTAAAAATTCAATTAAATAATTAATCGTTTTAAATTTATTAAAGTTTTGTATGTACAATAAAGGACAAATTTATCTACGTTTAGTTAACTAGCCGATCCTAATCTCAGGAAAGAGGGAATGTTGGGCATATGAGGTTAGCAATTATACTCAGTAATAAACAACATCGTTACTATGGAAACTTCAAAGAGAAAAGAAAAATTAAATTATTTTGAAACATTATAATAAAGCCAGTTGAAAATCAGTTTCATTTTAATTGCATATTTGTACAGTTATTTGAATATATATATATTTCAAACAAAACTGAGATCTTATCTTCCAAATGATTGATACTTTGTAGAGGCCTTTCTCAACGTTTATTATTATTCGTAGTAATGGTGTTTTGAGCAGTCAACATAGAATAAATCTCCCTCCGATTTTCCGATTCAATGTTCAATAGCTTTATAGGTTGACGCCAATTGTTTTAAACCCGTTTTACTAATGAAACAAAAAAACAACAGAAAATTAGTCGATTAAAACAACAATATTTATTGACTTACACTTCTTTCATATACACATCTTTACTGATCAATTCAGCTGGATCTTCGGCGACTTTCTTATCATACTGTTGAATACCAAGTGTTTCTAAGGCATGTTGATATCTGTCTACAGTGACAGCGTTCTTTTCACACGGATCAAGCATATTGAATATTGACTCGGCATTAGCTTCAGTAAATAATGATGGCGGGTCAGAGTATTCATCACGTGCAGCTTTTAATAAATGCAGTTGTTCAGCTAAGAATTGTTTTGGATTTTCTAAAATGGTAAACAGAATCAGGGATCATCTTCTTTAAATAGAGAAGATTTATAGGTTAGATGGATGACTTCAATTTGATCGAGTTCTCTAAGCTTAGTAGTTTAACTGTAAAGCTGTCAGTGTTTTTCTAGAAAGCATCTACAGGCCAAAACTTGGGCATTGTAGTAGTGTGTAACTCCATTATGGATAAGATTTTATTTTGATTAGTCATACAGTATTGAACCGTAATATTAACTGATGACCACGTTTCGAGCGCAAATTATTACAGCTCATAATCATATCAAGTCACTACTCCCACAACTTTCTTGCTTCATTTATGTACATGAGTGAACGGAATGGAACCAATGAAGGTAGACTGCACTGCACACTAGCGTCTATAAAAAGCCAACGCATTCTGCTAATAGATATTTAGGCTTTAATTCATCTCATCCGTTCGCTGTCTGTAAAGGCTGGCTTAGTTAAGTGTATGCTTAACAAACCGAGCAGTAGCACCAAGTAGCACAAGAAAAGACCTAAATGATGAAATAAAGCAGATAGAAGAAGCGTTTGTATCAAAAAACTATCCTATAAAATTCATAAGGAATATCAAAAAAGGTCAAAAGCAAAATAGAAATAATGGTGAAACTAATAATGATAACATAAATAAGAAAGAATATAAGGCATCTACAGTTATACCATATAAGGAGGGGACATCTGAGACCCTCTCCATGTAGGATTCTCAATAAAGCAGGAATTAGGGTGGCATTCAAACCTACAAACTCACTCACATAGGACAAGGCTTTGTAGGCTAAAGGACCCAGTGGACCCGATTAAACAAAGTAATATAATTTTCAAAATACCTTGCAATGACTGTGACTGAGGTCAACTACATGGGTCAGTCAAACTAGTAGATCGGGGGTAGTCGGATTGTCGGGACATAAGAATTTATCTAAGGTTAGAATGATTGATCCCACGAAGATATGTAATTTAGAGAAAAACTCAGCAATCGCACAACATGCATCAATACACAATCACACAATAGGGTGAGTGGGACACAGTCAAAATTCTAAGAAGTAATATAGGTAGGTAAAGATAGAGAGAGATTGATTACTGAATCCTGGTTCATTGAGTCTACACCCAACACATTCTACAGAAATGACTCAATGCAAATACTCGAGGTATGGAAGATATTATTACCACCAGTCTGTCAAATCAGAAGAGGATAATAAATAATCTTAAAATTCTACTTCAGTTCAATTCACGTACATCAAAACACTCTAAAAAGTTACTTACTTTGACTATAAAAACTTATTTCCCATCTGAATGTATTTGATTGATAACGCTCATATTATTATTTCTGAATGTACTTTATCATCTTATATTGATTTTTATTCAATCAAATGTCTAATCATCAATTTTTACACATGTATATAAATGAAGCAAAAAAGTTGTGTGAGTGAGTGACTTGATATGATTATGAGTAGCAATGATAAATTGTGCTCAAAGCGTGGTCATCAGTTAATATTACTGCATAACCACACTGTGTGATTTATCAAAATAAAATCTTATCTATAATGGATATTCAGGCTTAACTTCAGTATGCAGGCGGCTTATTTGAATTCCCCATGAATGACATAATTGGATACGCAGACAACCAATCACGACAAAGATTGTCAGATGATCAAATTATAACATTCATGGAAAATTCCAATAAGTTCGATTTATATTGAAGTTTTCCACTGAAGACGTTGTCTAGAAGGATATGGAAAACATCGGAATTAAACCGCCTAACTCAGAGAACCCAACTATGTCAACAACAACTAAAAATAATTCGATTATAAATATTCAGACCTTAGATGTCATGAATTTTAGAAGATCAAAACCAACATTTGAACATTTCGCTACACAAGCAACAGCTTCTTCAGTAGAACCACTCGATAAATTTGACTGAACAGAAAAAACGCTTGAATGAAGAGAGAACGAGCAGATATTTGCAGGATAACACAAGATGGTTTTATTTCGTGGATTATCTCTCCTCAACTGCGTCGTACATCCTAAACAAATCAATTATAAATTACAAAATAGCATCGGAACATACTTTTTACAATGATTTCTAGTTATAGATAGAAAGTATCAGCAACATAATTTCAAAGGGAATAAGAAGACAGCTGCAGCGAAGAAACTTTTCTTTTCGACGAAGTTATCATCTAGGCTGTACATTCGTGTATTTATATCAAATGGATGGGAAAGTTCCAGAATAATTTCCGGTTAAGGGTCAAATTAATAAAAATTACAATTAGGAATTAGTATGCCATAATAAACAGGGGGACGGATGAAACTCAAACAAGGTAGCAGAATTACTAAGAAGGTTGACATATTGTGCAATTGGGGGTTAGAAATGTAGAAATAACAAAATATACAAGATGTTTGGATAAAAAACTAATGTGATGAATAATTGTTTATGCAATCAGGGATTAAATATGTAGAAATAGTAAAATGACAAAATAAACAGGAAGTGTGGATATGAAAATATGGTAGTGTAGACAGGGATTAAGAAAAACTTAAAATAACATGAATAAACAGGAAGTTTAGATAAGAAAGGCGATGGGATAGTCATTACTAAAAGGATTAACTGTTTATGATGGTCATGGCAGGGACAGGGGTTGGGCGTATTTCTTCTGGATACATAGCGTGGGTTTGAGTTTTTGGATAGCTAACGCCTTCTAAGATGATGTAAGTAGAGAATTATTTAGTGTTAAAGTGCAGTCTCCAGACATCTAAATGACACGGGACATATACATTAGAAATTAGTCAGGCTTTCAAAATAATCAACAAACATAGAAAATCATGGTTACTTCTGTTCGCAGAAGCCATTGATTGACATCAAAAGACTTCGAGCCAGTTATGACTGAAACTGAACCGAATAAACTCCGTCTCTATTTTTGCTTTGTCTGCGCCTGTTAATTACTACAATGGTAATGAATTCGACTGGTACACTAATACACCTCTATTTGTGTGTTGTACCTTCCGATTCACTGAGACACGCAAATATCAAAAGACAAAGGCTGACGGGCCTGTAACTGTAAGATATTGTATTATTGTGCATTTATTAGGAAACAAAACATCCTATTTATATATTTAATTTATCACAATACAGTTAGCTCACAACTGTGAGAATGCATTGTTCTTATTGGTTGGAAGTATCTATCTTGATTGGTTGGTGATCCGACAAAGATCGAAGTGAGACAAAAGACGATGAACTGATCACACAATATAAATCACAATATGCATGAGAAATGATAGATCCAAACAGTAACTCCATCACAAGATAAATCACACGATTCGTGAGAAAGGATAATATACTATTTTATGCTTGGTCGTATCAGACCCAACCTATGCATACAGAAAGGGAGTGTGATTATCTCTCACTACCCGACCTGGTAACCATAACTGTTTTGTTTGTGTGATTTTGCGTTTTGTTCTGTTGCATACATAACATCCCGCTTAATTTTGATTTTCACTCGCTGAATTTAATCAAATCTACTAAATTAAATTATTTTATCTTTTTTTTTTTTTAATAATTTTACTTCTCTCTTCACCCACCACCACCCTCCTGAACTCTCCACCATAATATTTATAAATTAACTCTGTTGTTCTATCTTGTATTTCACCTCTAGTCCATCCTTGTCTCCAAGCAAAGTGAGAACTCCATCCCTTTGTCTAATAACTATATAAATAGTTACTCTCTTTTAACACTAAATAATTGTCTACTTACATCACCTTTGAAATTATGTTGCTTATACTCTCTATCTATAACTTGAAATCGTTGTAAAATGTATTTTCCGACACTATTTTGTAACATGTAATTGAGTTATTTAGGATGTACGACGCAGTTGAAGAGAGATAATTCACGAAATAAAACGAGCTCACATTATCTTGTAAATATGTTCGTTATTTCTGCATTCAACGGAATTAAGGGAACCGGGTGTATGAAAAAAAGTTTTCAGGAAAATTAAAGAAGAATTTTTATCACCGAACACTTACCAACATGGTTTTCACAAAGGAGACAAACGATGCACCCGCAGCTCCATCTTAGAACATCTGATAAATTCCGGACACCAAACTACACCCCACACAAACTTCAAAGTCGTCTACAGAATACGAAGCAGTCTTTATAAAAGTGTGAGAGTCAAACGTCTGCAAACTGCAGAAGCAATGATAATTCACTTACTAAGCCGTGAACTCTGCATATAGAAGTTCGTTCAATCACTATACTTGCAATGGACGTAATCTATCTTAATACCCGACAGGTAAATTCTACCTAATCTTTTTCTCTTCTATCTCTTCATTAGTATTATTTTGTCTTTACAATTGTAATTTTTTTAAATTTTCAACTTTCGTGTTCTCTACTTCCACCCAACTTAATTTCTACACCTCATTACCACTGTTACTGACTTGACCAACGCTCAATTTCTAGCCACCTGTGTTACGTCATCCGACTTATTTACTCAATTTTGGTCCTAATTCAAGTGGCATTATTCACTACCCCACCTCTACTTAGTTTCTCTCTACCTGTAATTACCTCTGTTGCTATGCTGACTTAAGTTGAAACATTTTAGTCAGTTATATTACGTCACCTAACTTACTAACTCAACCTTACTTTAGTTGCTGTCTAATTAACCTTGTTCCTATATTAGATCATTCTTGTATTACCTGATTAATTATCTAAACTTGACAAACCTCATGTACACACACACACAAGAATAATTGTACATAAATGCGATTGTACAGCTAGGTGAATGAATTCGCCAAAAAGAGTCTCTTCGCTGAACGTCTCCTCTTTTTCAGAGACGAATTCAGCGAAGAAAATTTTCTTTATCAACGAAATCATCTTCAGAGGCTGTACACAGTTGTATTTTTATTTACCAAAAAATGTATAATAGTCTATTATTGAGTAATAGGGGGTGACATAATTGATATAATTACTCAGAAGTAGCTTTAGAAGTAAAAAATTAAAAGT